ACACTAAGCAGGATTAGGCACTAGTTGTTAGCTAAAACCCATTGCTCACGTAGATCCTCCTTAGTTTCTCTCAAACACTAAGGATCTATAGCCTAGTTTTCTTGAACACTAAATATTGTACTTAAGAAATGGAACTATTATGTCTCCTACAATCTCAAGTAATTTAGCACAATGAACAAAACAAATAGATGAACATAAAAACATCAAACATTTATTAAAACAAGTACACAATCATCCGTAAAAAACCCATACCATATAAAGCTTAGTTCATGGTATGGTTCGAAACATCCATAAAAACATTTCAAACCATACAACCCAACAAATCAAAAGGAAAAATAAAGTATAAGGGTGGAGGACACTCCTAACGCGCACTGTCAGTTGCTCCTTTGCGAGCTAGCTTCTCTCGGACCCCTAGCACGCCACTCCCTTGAGCTTGACTATGGAAGAGACCCTTGAAAAGATTAAAGGGGAAAGAAATTGGAAGCTTATAGTCGTCTTGCTTAGCTCACTTTTCCTTCTCTAAAGAATCCTCATCTAGCTTTGTGCCCACTTTTTTTTATACTAAGGGAATTTTTAGGTTTTAGTGCAAAAAATTCCCTTAGTACCCTATGGTACATTCACTTCACGTGAAGGTGGTGACAAAGGAAGTTGTGGTCCCCTCCTAGGCGGTTGCTGGCAGAAAACACATAAGTGTGTGCAGCTGACAGTTCCCGTGAAAATATCTTCTTTGTTTTTGTCTTTTTTCTGCATACAGTGGTTATCCTATTTTACCTTCGCAATTCTCCTCGCTCGCAATATAGGAATGTTGCGGCAATCCTCCATGTTCTCCCTTTGCTTTGTCGACCTACACATCACCAGCAAGAGCACAACCTTCCTCGTAATATAACACCACTTATAAATAAAAATTCACAACAAAGCCAAACCACCAAATGCAATTAATGCTCCTAAATGTACCTATATAGCTCTAAAATAACCAATAACTTAAATGAAAATGCCCTAAACATAACCTTTTTATATAGTTATTAAACGTTCAATAACAAAAGGTTGAGAGCAGATAATACCTTGTACTTAGCCCATATTAATAATAAATAAATAAACTTTGAAGATTTGGTGTAAAATACATTTACCTTTCATATTATGACAAAGAAGCATTTTACTCATGAATATCATATGAACTCCTTAATTAAGTACGTTTTATATAAAAAAGATAATTATATTTATTTTATTATTTATTTTTTTTATATTTAAATCTCTTAATTATTTTTCATAATCTATTTTAATTATTAACCATGCACACAAATAGTACTGTAGATGAGACGAGACAGACCGCGAGCTACTCGAGATCAACTCGGTTAAAGCTCGATTGGACTCGACTCGAGCTCGAGTTCTTAACGAGCCGAAACCAGCTACTTGATACTCGATTCAAAAAACTCGTGAGCAACTACAAAATATAATATATTAAGATTTTATTTTTTTTTAAAAATAAATTATTAATAATATTAACATTTATGTTTTGATTTTTTTAGAAAAATTACAGTATAAGGTTTTCATGTATTTAATGTTCAGCTTCGAATTTGAGTTTGAGGTTTTAATTGAGTTAAGATTTTTTTCTTTTCGAGCTTTTACGAGCTTTAATTCATAATTTCGAGTTCGAGTCGAGTTTGAAAATTTTAGGCTCACGAGTTTTCGAGTCAAGTTGAGCTCCATTTTAGAGTTGTCGAGTCGAGTCGAGCTCAGCAATACTCGATCTCGACTCAGCTCGTTTACAGCCTTACACGCAGACTTTGTAAATATATTGTTCTAATTCGGGATTTTAGGGAAGAACAACGCTCCCAAGATTCATTATTAGTTAAATTATAAGTGCAAAGAAAAAAAAGAAAAAAACTTAAAATTAAAACATATAAGATTGAATTTAAATTAAATTTAAAATAAATTAATGGGTAAATTACAAATTTGGTAACTAAACTTTCATACGATTCCTATTTTACTCACCGTACTTTTAAAATTTTCAATTTGGTCACTCAAATTTATAGATTAAGTTTTTTTGTCACTCTGTCGTTAAACCTCTCACAGCGTTATGACGTGGCTTAGAGAAATAACTTTTTAATCGTTAAAAGCCACAGATGTGATGACAGGTCAAAAAAATAAAAGGTAAATTACAAATTTGATAACTAAACTTTCATATAATTCATATTTTACTGACTCAACTTTATAGATTAAGTTTTTTTGTCACACAGCTGTTAAACTTCTCATCGCCAAAAATCATCCATCGATGCCCTCATCGCCGTTAGACAATGATCTTTGTTGCTATTGGACGGTGATCGTCACCGTTTGTACCGGTGTGAGCACCAGGCCATCGTGACCAAAACTCTAGTGGCTGATTGTCAAGGCTCCCCGTCGTTCGTTGTATAGAAACCATTTAAGGTTTGTCGGGAAACCAAAGCCTTCCCATCACTTTTCATTGATTTTCAGCCACCCCGGTCGTTTGTTCGTCTCATCGCCGCCACTGCTGAATTCTTCTCCTCTTTCCGACCAAAACCCAATCGATTTTCCCTCTCGTCATCATTGCCTAAGTTCGACACTATTTTCCAGCCACCCTGCGTTCGTTCGTCTCACCCCGACCAAAAACTCAATCTATAACGTTGAGTGAGCAAAATTGAAATTTTTGAAAGTATAGTGAGTAAAATATGAATCATATGAAAGTTTAGTTATCAAATTTGCAATTTACCCTTATTTTTTTAAAAAATCCGATGTGGTATGTTTAATATTAAAAGATTCCACGTCAACGAGTTGTTAGTGATATAACGGTGCAGTGACCAAAAAAGTTCATTTTATAAAATTGAGTGAGTAAATTGAAAATTTTGAAAGTACGATGAGTAAAATAGGAATCACATGAAAGTTCAATTACCAAATTTGTTGTTTACCCTAAATTAATATTGAATTTGCATAAAAGATTATTAAATACAAATGAAGGTTATATTGTTAGAGTAATATCTATATAATATTTATTTAGGTAAACGACATTAAAACAATTTAGGGTATACTACATGTTTAGCACTTTAACTATTGATTTTGTTCCGTTTTGGTCACTCAACTATTTTCCCCCCATAATCATACCTAACATTTTAGTCATTCACCGTTAAAAAAATTAACGGTGATGCTAACGTGTCACCATAAGGTAATGTCATATCATCGTTAAAAAAAATAAAAAGTCAATGTTTCTATTAATTTCTAACAGTGAGTGATCAAAATAAAACTAAAATGTGATGTTAGGCGTGATTTGAAAAACATAATTATTGAGTGACTAAAACGGAACAAAAATGATAGTTGGATACTAAACATATAATTTACCCAAAAAGTTATTTACTTAGTTTGAGTTATTTCAAGCTACTTATTCAAAATCATTTTAAATTTAGAACATTCAAAATTTCGATTATTTCAAGATTGAATCATCAAGAGATAATATTTTAAATTTAAATGGAACCCATTGATCATGTATTCATATGCCTTTCATTAAGGGTATTCATTCAGTTTTAATCGAATTAACCAACTGAATCGAAATTTATTTAAGCTAATTTATCGGGTAATTAGGTGTTCGTAATTTAGTTTTTATACAAATTTAAGATCGTTGGATTAGTACAAATAGAAGACTAAGATTAACTATTTTTTTCCAGTGAATATCTTCTCATTTCATACTCAACCCTATATGATCACTCATCCAACGATCTTAAATATGTGTAAAACTATATATATATATATGTATGGGCAAAACTCACGATATAATGCTTTCAAAATAAATAATTCACGAGATAATGCACTCCCCATATTATTTGCTGAAATAGGGTGAAAGCCACAGTGTTTGTCGTAGGTCGCTGGGAGGGCATGGCGACCTACAAGGTCGCCCGGAGGGCATGGCGACCTATGTGTTGGGGACGTTAAAATGTCCATTATCTCTGTGTAGCTCGCCGGGAAGCTATGAGAGAGATTGCATGCGCCATGCACGTCCCAACACGGTGGGCATCCGAGGCCATCCGAGAAGCTATGCGAGAGCATCCGAGGCCATCCGACCAAGGGCATCCGACCGAGGCCATCCGACCGAATTATGTGAGGGCATGAGAGGATAGCCGAGCGAGCTATGCGAGGGCATCCGAGCGAGCGAGCAAGGGTAGGTCGCCCGGAGTGCATGGCGACCTACAAGGTCGCCAGGATTGCATTGCGACCTACAAGGTCGCCCGGAGGGCATGGCGACCTATGCTTGGGGACGTGCATGTGCCATGCAACACGTTCATTTTCTCTGTGTGTTCGTCGTCGGAAGCTGGCCACGTAGTAGGTCGCCCGGAAGGCATGGCGACCTACGACCAACACTGTATTTCACTCTATTTGAGCAATTAATATTGGGAGAGCATTATCTCATGAAATAATTTGTTCGAGAACATTATCTCGAAAGTTTAGCCTATATGTATGTATGTATAATCAAAACTCAACTATTTTTTAATGACATCAGCTCAATCAAACTTTCAAGATACAATCAAATTTTAACCAAATGACAATAAAAATATCTCTATTAGACACAAATTAATTTAACTAAAAAATAATTTAAAAACTGACTGTATTAGTTGAACTTTATTCGATTCTATTAATAATTTTAAAAAAATTAATTTGAATAATTATTAAAAAATATCAACTAATTCGATTTTAGTTAATGTAATTGAGTCAACAATCGAATTAACCGTCTAAACATCCTTCCCTTACATCGATCTTCCATCAAAATTTTCAATAAATGAACTATCTTAAATTATCTGCCAATAAATAACTATGAAAAATAGTGTACTACAAGAGCAGCTAAAAGCGACTGGTAGCATGAAAGTCCACGTTGTGCCGATGATTTAAACCACAAGTTGGACTTTCGAAGCTCCAATTACTCCCATTCAAGTCAAACAAAGCTGTCTACTCGAGCTCAACTATTCAAAGATCAGACAAAGACTTAATTTTTTTTTGTATAAAGTCTTTCTCCATTATCTGAAGATCTTCTAAACAATCAAAGCTTGGTGGGATAAATCTATGGCGGTTGGGTTAGCCATAACAAGTGAAGGTGGCCAATACAATGGCAGGGTAACGTTGATCCTCCTCCTTTCATGCATGATGGCAGCCATTGGAGGAATCATCTTTGGCTATGATCTTGGGATTTCAGGTTATACTTCATCTACTCTCTCTCTCTCTCTCTCTATATCTCTTTTCCAATCAGCTTGCTTTAACTTTTTTGGTATTAAATTCATGGATAAAGTCGAGATGAATCGAATGTGTTTGATGAAATGTTTATGAACCGTTCGTATAATATTCGTTTATTCGGAATAAAAGTCTATTTGGTTCGTTTATATTCACGAAAAAACTCATTTATAAGATTATTTACTAGGTTTTCTTTTTTACTTTAATTTTTTTTACATTTTATATATGGTTGAAGATAATGACTAAATTGAATTTAAGTTGAATTTTGTAGTTTAAACTGTCTAGTCTAAAGAAATTAAGGACTAGTGGTGCAATTTGACCATTTTTTCTTTGCCTCCCAAATAAGGTTAAAGTTAGTTTTGGTTGCATAACATTTAACGAACGTTAAATGAACATATTTTGTCTATTTATCATGTGTTGATGTTGTGATCAAAGGAGGAGTGACGTCCATGGAGCCATTTCTGAGAAAGTTTTTCCCAAAAGTTTACACAAAGATGAAAGAAGACACCAACATCAGCAATTACTGCAAATTCGACAGCCAATTGTTGACTTCATTTACGTCTTCACTCTACATAGCTGGCCTTATTTCGTCTTTCTTCGCATCGCCGGTGACTCGAGCCTTTGGTCGCAAGCCGTCTATCCTTATAGGGGGAGTGGCATTCCTCGCTGGTTCAACCCTTGGCGCTGCTGCTTTGAATGTGTACATGTTGATATTCGGTCGTGTCTTGCTAGGCGTTGGGGTTGGATTTGCGAACCAGGTATGCACTCGAGCGTGTAGTGCCGGTTACATATTTTCGGGACCTAATTGTGTTTTTTGCTATGTTGCATTTGATTTAACAGTCAGTCCCATTGTATATCTCTGAAATGGCACTTCCCAAGCACAGAGGAGCAATGAACATTGGCTTCCAATGCGGTGTCGGCCTCGGCGTTCTTTCGGCTAACGTTATAAACTTCGGCACCGAAAAGATCGAAGGCGACTGGGGCTGGCGTATCTCCTTGGCACTCGCAGCATTACCGGCCTCGATCCTAACAATAGCAGCACTTCTCCTCCCTGAAACTCCCAACAGCCTAATCCAAAACAGCAATGATCCCCTAAAGGCCAAAACCGTGCTGCAACGCATACGCGGCACCGCTGATGTCCTAGCCGAACTGGATGATCTCATCGAAGCGAGCTCGATTTCGAAAACCATCAAACACCCATTTCGGAAAATCACACAAAGAAAATACAGGCCACAATTGGTAATGGCAATAGCTATACCATTTTTCCAACAGGTAACAGGCATAAATGTGATCACATTTTATGCTCCAATACTATTCAGGACAATTGGCCAAGGTGAAAGTGCTGCGCTCATGTCTGCAGTTGTGACCGGCCTTGTCGGTACAACCGCGACCTTCATATCGATGCTTACAGTCGATAAACTCGGGCGAAAGGCCTTGTTTATGATTGGGGGAATCCAAATGTTGGCGACGCAGATAACCGTCGGCGTAATTTTGGCTGCTTTGTTAGGGGATCATGGTGGATTAAGCAAAGGGTATGCATACCTAGTTTTAGGTTTGATTTGTGTATATGTAGCTGGTTTTGCATGGTCATGGGGACCCTTGGGGTGGCTAGTTCCTAGTGAGATTTTCCCATTGGAGATTAGATCAGCAGGGCAAAGCATTACAGTGGCAGTGGGATTTCTCTTCACATTCATCGTTGCACAATCTTTTCTAGCCATGCTCTGCCGATTCGAGTCCGGGATTTTCTTCTTTTTCGGGGCATGGGTGGCGTTGATGACCGCGTTCGTGTACCTTTTTTTGCCCGAGACGAAGAATGTTCCGGTCGAACAAATGGGAAAAGTGTGGAGGGAACATTGGTTCTGGAAATCAATTGTTGGAGAGGTGGATTATGATGAGAAGAAGGCTTGCACACAATTGCCATGGCACAATGCAAAGTAAATTATGTTAATTTAGACCTATTGATAATGTTATAAACGTTGATGGATTAAATTATGTTAAGTTAAAATAGAGGGATTAAATATCAAATTCCAATATTGTTGAGGGATTAAAACCTAAATTAGTCATTTAATTTTCCAGCTAACGTGTAGACAGTCAAAGGGGACGTGGTCCATAATTTCTTAAATTTTGTCACAATCAAAGCTATAAATGAAGAAGGCAAAAGATGGACTTTTCCACTTGGATTTGCATTTTGTATTTTGTTATTCAAATTTTATTTAGTTCAATTTAAAATATTAAGGATAAATTGCACGTTTATTATTTAAATTATTAGTTTTAGTCCGTTTTATTATTTAATTTTTTTATTTTTTTAAAATAATATATAATGTTTAGTTTTTATTTTATTTTTAGTACCCGTCAATAAAAAATTAAAGTGTTTTGTACCTAAACTATTAGTCTTGGTCCATTTTAGTGCCTAAACTTAAAAAAAAATTAAAACTTAATATTAAATTTTGAACGTGACACTAAAATAAAACAAAAATTAAACTTTAGGTACGATTATGAAAAAATTGAAAGTTTAAATAATAGAACAAACCAAAACTGATAGTGTAGGTACTAACGCATAATTTACCCAAAATTTATAGATATTCAAAGTTCATCATAATTTTATTTAGGAAACTACAAATTTAGTATCTAAACTATCAATTTGATTCATTTTAATACCTAAACATTTATTTTTTTTCAAAATCATACATATCATTTAGTTTTTGTTTCATTTTAGTACCCTTATTTAAAATTTAACGTTAAGTTTTAAAACAAACTGAAAGTTTAGGTACTAAAACGGATCAAAACTGATAGTTTAAGTACTAAACGCGTTAAGTTTTTAATGGTGGAGTACTAAAATGAAACAAAAACTAAACATTGATATGGTTTTGAAAAAAATGATAGTTTAGGTACTAAAACGGATCAAACTGATAGTTTAAATACTAAATGCGTAATTTACCCTTTATTTAATTACAATTATTTTATATATTATATAAATATTAAGTTTTAAATTTAATGTACTATTGAATAATTCTCTTATAATTTACCGTTAATTATAATAAAATTCTTTTTTTGGGTTAAATTTAATATTTATGATATTGATTTTTTCTCTTATCATTTTACTCATTATTATCCATAATAACTACTGATATGTTTTATTTACCAATTAAAAATATATAAATTAAACAATATTATTTTATAAAAATATCGGAATTCCAAATAATCATATTTTAAAACATAAACTGATTTAATTCAAATTAAATTGAGATATTTATTTGAATTTAATAAATTTCAAATTAATATTTTTAAAATTTAATTTATGTTGAATTGAATTTAAATTTCAATTAAAAAATTAATCACACCTAAAATAATAATATAATCTTTTATTTATTTTTTAAAAATATTATAATATTATTTTTTATATATCTGACGTGAATATAAGATAATATAAAATTTTTTTAAAAATAAATATCATAATATCACTTCTATACGTTTTTTATTTAATTTTTTAATTTGTTAAATAGAATAAAATATTTTTGGGTAAATTATGCGTTTAGTATCTAAATTATGAATTTTGATATATTTTAGTATCTAAACTTTCAATTTTTTCAAAATCATATCTAACGTTTAATTTTTGTTTCAGTTTAGTACCTCGCCGTTAAAAACGTAATGGATGGGCTCGCCGGCCATCGCATCCGTCGGCCAGTGAAGTCTGAACTTCCAATCTTGCACCTTTTCGGCCTCCTGAACGTGATTTCGAGCTCCGTTTCATCGGAAAATGTCTCAATCTCCCCAAAATCAACTATGGACTCTTCAACTTCTTCATCCTCCAATCTCCATTGTCAACCTTTCGATGTGCCTGAAACTGAATTATGTTGGTCGAGTCGTCATTCTCTCGTGGTCCACCGTTCGGATTGGTTGTCCATCCGTCGGAGCTATGCCCCTTTAACCCGTAACGATGAGATATTAAAATGAAACAAAAACTAAACGTTAGTTCTGATTTTTAAACATTTGAAAATTTTAATACTACAATGGACCAAAATAAATAGTTTAGTTACATTTTATAATTTACTTAATATTGTTTTATATTTTTGTCGTATCAAAGTTTGACCCCTTCTACAAAATAAAAGATTTTAGATACTGGAAAATGAATCAAAACAAACACAGATTCACGTAAACTTACATTGACTCATTTGGGAATTAACTTTGAAATGAAGAACTCCAAGAAAAATCCCATTTTTTTCTCTATCATTTGCTTCCATATTTTTCGAATAGACCCTAGTTGAATTTACATACATCTCAAACTCTTGCAAGCCTTACGGGATATGATCAATCTTTACTATAATATCCGCTAAAAATGGAGTATTTTGAGGGTTTTCCAGGAAGTAACACACCAAATATTTCCAATTTACTCAAGCTTGAAGGAACCCAGCAATTTTCATCTACTAAACAAACACAAAAAACCCAGAGCTAGTTGCAGTAAAAAAAATGAGGAAATTGTCGTTATCGATCAATGGTAAACGCTTCATGCCTTAAGTCGTCTCTTAAATATCAGAATATATATATATATATAGTAATTGTATAGCCAGAAAGAAGAAATAAAACTTGGTTTGTGGGACTGGGAACACTATGCTTTGCGTCATCTGCGTTTGTATATGGTTAAACTAACACCAAATTCAGATTACATGTCAACGTGATTTGGTTTGGTTTCTTGGTTAAGTAAATATGGTAGATTAAGCACCCCCCCCTTTTGGTTTGATATTTGTGTTCCATTTATGGGGGTTTTTTAGTTGTTGAGTTGCCTGAATTAGGGGTTCGGTTTCCAGGTATGACTGGTTTTTTTATAGTTTTAAAGTTTTCTTTTAAGCCCCTTTGGCTTCAAAGTTAATGTTTAGCACGAAATAAGCAACCTCGATAGTTAAGGGTTGGCTCGGGTTTGAGCTTGGCGTTTAAAGTGGTATTTGAGTGTTTATTGTCAAATGATCGAGTGTCTCTTGAATAGATATTTCATGGTAATCACCAAAAAAAGGAGTGCTTCATGTTTAGAAATTCTATGGCATGGAATCCTGAAATCTTTGATTGTTTATTTAATCTCTTTACTGCTGGTAAACCATGTAATTGTATGTTCTGGGCAAGAATTTGCAGGTTCTTTCCTTAAATTCCAGGCTAAACACAGATTCTAACATGGGATTCTTTGTAAAGATACAGAGAATTGATCTTATAAAGGAACTGGCAGAATAATGGAGAAGAAAGAAATGGAAGAAGCAGAAGTTGAACTGGTTTTCCCACCTTCTCCAACTTTAACCATTGGAATAGCTATCAATGGGAGCAGAGAAAGCAAATATGTGATTAAATGGGCGTTGGAGAAGTTCGTTTCCGAAGGGAACGCCGTGTTTAAGTTGTTACATGTTCGTGCAAGGATTACTGCTGTTCCTACACCAAGTAAGTCATGGTGTTCCTAAAGATTAGTACATCTGCTTATGGATTCTATGTTTGATGTTAAATCGACTGAAATCATCTCAATTCTAGTGGGGAACTTGATTCCGATTTCTCAAGTACGAGATGACGTTGCTGCGGCGTATAGGAAGGAACTGGAATGGCAGGCGAATGAAAGGCTTCTTCCTTATAAGAAATTCTGTACTCAAAGAAAGGTATCCTTGATTTTCTTACTGAATCTCGCTGTGCATGTTTTCTGCACAAGTGAACTATGTTTGCTTATATTCTGAATTTAGGTGGAAGCCGATATCATAAGCATTGAATCGAATGAAGTTGCGAATGCAATAGCAGAGGAGGTTTCAAAGAACACTATCACCAGACTTGTTATCGGAGCTTCATCTCGTGGGATGTTCACAAGGTATTTTAATGCAACATAGTTAAAAAGTTAAGTCCAAGACCTTGTGGGGTATAAATCAGGTTGTGTAGAATCTACTGATGCATTGATTTTTATTTATTTTTTTGGAAATGGGGTGTTTCGGATTTTTCGATTCTTCATTATCAAGCAAGCATGCAACATTTTTTCCGGTTTATCCTACGAGAAGGAGGGTGAACATCAAAGAGCTGGTCTTTGCATATTTGTTTACTTAGGTGGTCTATATTTGCAGTTTCCCACTACCAATAATCTTGTGTATTTGATATCTGTAGGAAGCTTAAGAAAAATAGTTTGTCCTCGAGAATATCAGCCCGCACTCCGAGCTTTTGTACAGTGTATGCTGTTTCGAAAGGAAAGTTGTCGTCCATTCGGCCAGCTGATTCGGAGATGAATGGCAGCATTAAAGATGATAGCAGCGAAACGAGTTTTTCCTCCAATAACTCATCAGGCTACACTTTCAGTTCGCAGACAGGTACTTATCCTATGCTAAACGATTGGGAACAATAGAAATGGTAATATTTTCTTGTCCAGCTGTTGTAGAAGATGATCATTGATGACTAAGAATGCAAATAACATTCATTTACTCTTTTCTGTAATTGTAGAATTGGGCTCAGTGGCATCATATGCTACTTTCCGTTCCGCATCCCTGACAATGCAGAGACATCAAGCACTTTCAACTATAATCATACAATTTTAGATTCGAGAATAGTTCTCTTGCGAGTAACCAGTTCAGATCGATTGAGTCCACCCATTCTAGATCTGCTGATAACAGTAACAGCCATTCTAGATGCCATTCTATGGACATTGTGGCAGGGAATGGTGATATGAGTTCTCGTCCTAGCTGTGCAGAGTCTGGAGAAGCATTCAGTCGAAATTCTAGTCTCAGAAGCTTGCCAACTGATCAACGATCATCGTTACTGGATCAAATTTGTACCTCAGATGTGCAGACAGATTGTTTTCCGTCTGAATGTCAGGTGGGTGTTATGCATCATGATAACCTTAAGACAAATGCTATTTTTACAGAAAATGCATAGTGCCTTTTGGTTTAATTTCGGAACTGAATAGGAAACTTGCATATATATGCAGTAAATATCAACTTTGAGCTAGAGAACCTGACAACCGAACTCAGACACATTCGAGAAATGTATGCTGTAGCTCAAAGTGAGACCATTGATGCATCTCGGAAGGTTAGTTGTATCAACTTTTCATTCTTCTTGAAACTATTTATGTAGTAAATTAATCTCTTTCTCTTTTTTCCTTGATCATTGAAGTTTTCACATCTTTGCTGCCATTTAGCGTCAA